GGGGGGGGGTGGGGGGGGGTGGGTGGGGGGGGAGTTACGTGGTGCATTGTGGGAGCTCCATGAGTTTTGAATTAGTAGGGCAGGAATGTTAGTGTTCCTCTGTGTACTATCTTGGGTTGGGGTGATTTATTTTAGGTCTCTCCCGTTACTATCGTGGGAGCTAGAAGCTGCAACAAAGAAAGACTCTCAGTAGCTGTAACACATGGTATAATCTGCACCGATCTCCTTTTTACACTTTTTTTTAAATGACACTTGACTTGTATGTATATGTTGTAATGTCAGATGGAAGGATTTTCTTCTTCTTTTTTTGTCGTCTTCTCCGCAGTCAGTTTTTTTTAAGCCTGGAACCTGTTCTGGGTTCCTTTGCACTGTGCTGTAATTCTCTTGTCGGGACTCTCCTCTCGTCCCGGGTGAGACCCTCTTTATGATCCCAGCGTACACAACAAGTGATCGGATGATTTCACGATGACCTATGCATGCTCCATGGACATTAGATCAGTACATCTGAAGAGATAGTGTGTGTGTAAATATCAAAAAAAAGCTGGCGTATAGCAGTCTGTGTGACGAGCAAAATAATTTTGTTGAGATGCCTTCTGGAAACTTTTTTGCCAAAAATGATATGCCCTACCAGCAACTAACTGTAGGTGTGATTTTTCTTCTGAACTGTGTTTTTGTTACTAGGACTACGTTATAATAACTGCACTCATTAGAGGAGGAACGCGTAGTCATTGGTAGTCTCTTAGTCCTGATTCACCTTCTTGTCATTCAGTCACTGATTCACTTGCACCCTCTTGTGGAGGAAACTCGAAGCTGCAACTCCTGGGTGACCTCAGCTTTGAGCACCACAGCATCCGAAATATCTGACAGAAATGTTAACACGACTACTGTGTCTCCTGTCACTAAACCCTGACATACTGTCGACATGTTTTTCCGTCTCCCTACCCCCTGCATGTGTTTGTGAAGAGTGGGAACCGCTCTTTCTCTCTGTTTACACTGTTGTCCGAGCGTCACCGACAGGGAGGTAATAGTATACTTAACACTGTACATCTGTTAACGAACAAACTTGTTTGGTGATTCTACAAAAAGAAGACAAAAAAAAAGGGAAAACAGCTGTGACATTGTGAGACAGCCTGGATGTAAATAAAGAAGCGCTTGCCAAAGTTTGTAAATGCCATGATATCTAAAGCGTCTTTATTTCACCTTTATGGACGTGACGTGTTGATGTGGACATAATAGAAACTGATTAGATTTCTTCAGGTGCTTTGCTGCAAAAATGTACACATTAATGTGTTAAACTAATCCTCTTAAAGCTGCATTACTTCTAAATGTTTTACAAGGTGGAAATATACTTAAATACTTATTCCTAACGACAAACTGGAGGACTGATCCTTGAAACATGATGAAATTAAGGCTTGAATTTTGGTTTATATCTAGTTTAGTAACGCTAGGTTGTCCTTTTTATTTTGAAGTGATGATTCAGCATTTTGTAGAAATAATAGCCAAGAATCAATGACAGTACAAAATGTCACTGGGATTAAAGAAAGATATGAAGTAGTTGAAGTGCCTCTTGTTTCCACATCTAAAGGTCATAAAACACTAAATGAAGTCTTGAGACAAAACTGAAAAAGGGGGCAAAATTCTTTTAGCCATTTAATTTATACGTATTATGACTTCTTAAATAACAGCTATCTAGCTATTTTTACATACATATAATCATATACTTTAAGTCCAAGCACAGACCAAAATATTTTGAATTTCTATGAGTAAAATGTTAAATCTAGCAATCTCTCAACTTTCATATATTCAGTGTACTGTTGATAGTATATAGATTTTGCTCTGTGTGCTAATGCTGCACAGTATACGATGACTAGATATGAGGAAAACAAAAGAGCACATATACTTAAGTATACCTACGTATTTCTGCTGACAATAACAGGTATCTGAGGTCTCAAGGAGTGTCACCTACCTGGACTCTTTAATTACGGGTAAATGATAAAACTCATTTCATTTTTTAAGAACTCTCAAACATCCATGGGCAAAATTACTCAAATGCACCCTTTGATATCCACGTCTTTATTCTTTTCCACCACAAAAGCACTCCACTCCATAAAAAGCAGATTATGTTTTTTCCCCCACATTCCATTTCTATGCTGTTAACTGTTCTGCAGATGCAGGAACCAATTATGCAAATAAGTAAGCAGCCCTTCATTAAAGGAACACTCTCACACTCAGTAACATGTTGACTTTGTGCCCGAGCTCATTGGTGGGTTACATTTTTCCGTTCCTCATGAGGTGGCAGACAGGCATTGTATTGTCCGCCGGCCTCACCACGAGGGAGCAGGTGGAGGCCCTCTCCACGGCCCCGCTCCCCACCTCAGAAAGAGCCTCTTTCACCCGGCTGCTCCGCTACTCTCCCGACAACATGGAGAAGTTTTGTGGGTGGGAGGTGGGGGGGAGGTTAAGGGGCCTCAGTGAGACCGTCTGAGGCAGAGTGAAGTGATCCATTCAGCTTGTTCAACCACCTCGCTGTGAAGGTTAGCCACCCACACCACTAGGCTATAGGGACCTTGGCTAGCTAGACACGACCCTCCCCCCCTGGCCACTGAGTTCACTTCTCTCCCTAAAGACATGTGTGTACAGAAACACTTGCCAAAAAAACCCAGGGAGGCCCGGGCCGGGGTGGGGATTTACTGACTCAATGTGGGGAGACGAGGCGGGGCCGGCTGCTGTGGAACAAACTGTTCACTGCCTGCAGGCGCTGCAGTAAAGAGCTGCCGGACAGACCGGACAGACCGGACAGACCGCATTATATTATTCTGAATAAAGAAACAACTCCGAACAGAAATATCACTCTTTAATACCTCTTAAAAAAAGAAAAGAAAAGGCAGCCAACGGCTTCAGTTTGTTTCCAGTATTATTTTAAACATCTTCACTCGGGAAGACTCAAGCTCAAGTTTTTGTATTTCAACACACACACACACACCCTCCTATATTTTTAAGTATAAATATTGTTGCTCAGCTCCTGTAAGAAGAATGGCAGGAAAACATGTAACAGTAATCCCGTTCAGACACCTCCGTCACTCATCATAAGTCTAGACAAGACTGAGTCAAAGTTATAGACTCATGAGTCAGGTCAAGGTGTGGTACTCATATGTTCTGAGCAAAGAGATTTTCAGCTGGAAGAGAACTTATTTTCTTGGTCAAAGTGTCCATGAGCAAGATGATGCTGTCCCTTAGCTGGTCCTGAACTCTTTCAGCCAAATATAAGGGTGTGAATTTCCCTGTATGGGTCACAAAAGTACCATATAATAATTCACATTACTCTGTGCGAGTCCAGGCAGGCTCCTAGGTGCTGTTGGCCTGCTCTTGTTCAAAAAGAGCCATGGCTAGATGTGAGCGTGAGCCCAGACCCTCCAGGTTGCTGAGGACGCAGCGGTGGTAGATGTCCTCGCTGAATCGTGGGTTGCACGCTCGCCTCACGTACTTCTGGATCAGCGCCGGCTCCACGGCCCTGAACACGTGCAGGCCCGAGTAACGCACGAATATGTCGTACACGTCCATGCTTTCCAGCAGCTCCTCGTTGTCTAACATGTCGGCGGCCATCTTGGTCCGTGCGGTCATGTAGTCGGCGTTGTAAAAGCAGGCCTCGTCGAAGACGTGACGGTCGAAGTGTCCGTCTCGCAGCGACTCCGACGCGAAGGAGGAGGAGGCCGCGGAGGGCTGCTGGTCGCGGTACATGACGGCGGGGCTGTACTCCTGGAAGTGGATGGGGAAGAACACCTGCCAGTTGCTGATGGCGTTCATTCTGCAGCGATTCAGGAAGTCGGCGTTGACCTCCGTCCACACGCCGGCCAGGAAAAACAGTGTGTCCACGGGGTGCTTCTTAGAGATGATGTCCATCAGCTTGACCTGTGAGGGCACCTCCGTCTTCACGCTGATCCAGGGGATCTTCACGTCTCCGTAGCGCTTCTCCACCTCCCCGATCATGGCCTTGATGCCGGCGAACACGTCGGTCTCGCTGACCCGCTGCGCATCGAAGGGATCGTAGATGAACAGGAACGTGAGTAACACATTGTCATGTGTGTCCAACGTGTTCATCACGTACATGTCCAGGAAGTTACCCACAAAGTCCTGATCCTGAGCAGTAACGGGCAGGATGACCTGCACCCGCGTTGCCTCAGTCACATAGGGCATGGGGATAATCTCGACGGCGCTCAGCGGTCGCAACAGGTTGACCCGTTTGGCGATGACTTGACTGTGGCCTTTCTGGGTGTAGGCCTCCAGCGCAAGGTCCAGCACGTACTCCATACCGCGCGTGGGATCGAAGCGCCTGTAGCCGTTAAGCAGACGGCGCTTGCGGAAACGAAGCTGGGGCTGGTAGCGCTCGTTCAGCCGCTCCACCGCGATCTCCAGCACTGCGTTCACGTCCGCGCGGTCGGCCCCTCTCATCTCACACTTGGGGGAGCTGTCGATGCACGAGTAGATGTGCTCCTCTGTGAAGTACTCCCAGTTTATGACCTCAAAACGGGTTCTTGGTTTGAAGGGGGGGTTGATTCCGATGGGCCACGTGACTCCGGCTTTGCCCTCTGGTGTCAGGTCACTCAGGTTGTTGATCTGCACCTGAGGAACACACACAGAAAAAAAATAATAAAAGCTAAAAACGTACTCACTGTCTAATGTGTAAACACTTCTCTTTAAGGCATTCGTGATTGCTTTGTGGCGTGAAGCACATTTAAAGTGATGTCAACACAATGCTAATGAGCCATCATTAGCTGCTACTCAAATTACATGATAAGGGTTCTCAGGCGTGCGTATTCACAGGATGATAACACTGGAATGTAACACTTCATGCACTTGTCTTTGGTTTTCCTGACATGTTGAAATACTGTATTACTCAGGAATTTTCTGTGTCAAGTATTACGAACCTGTAGCTGTTGTATCTGCAGGTACGTCCATTCCAGCTCAATCTGGCTGAATCGTTTGTGCAGCCGGTACATGAGATTTGGCTCCGATATAGGGTGGACCGTGAAGGCATTTTTAAACTGAACGCCATCTTCACGCTCTGGATCTGCGTTTTTCCCGAGCTCAAAGTACCGGTAGGTCATCTCCTGTGAGCCACACAAACATTGAGAAGAAAAGGAAATGTTAATACCGATATCCCACTGATACAACTGTGTCAAATTGATCAAAATACCATGCACGTTTCTATTGCTGCCCATGCATTAGTCTTACCTGGTGCACCTCCACACAGCTGAGACCCAGGTAGTCAATAATGCAGCGGCCCAGCCACTCATCGGGTCTCACACTGAGGATGTCATTACGGCAGGTGTCGAGGTGTGGCTGCAGACGGGCCAGCAGACTGCGGGACAGCAGGTAGCCGTAGCCGCCGTGGCAGTAGCGTGCCTTCTCTTCCCCGCCAATAAACTCCTCCGCCCTGCCCATGTAAAGGTCCTGGCCCGCACTGAGGTGGCCCACCAGCTCCGACAGCCGATCCGCTTGCATGTAGGTATCGTCCTGGGCTAAGAGGAACCAGTCGTAGTCGGAGCCGTAGTGCTGATGGAGGTGGCGGATTGTCTCGTACATCAGCCACACCGGACGGTCGTCGCCGTGCGCCACCACGGCCATGCCGTGAGGCACCTTGGGGCTGCGCAGGCCCGTGAAGAAGAAGGTGCGGTGGAAGCGGTGGGCGACTGTGCGATTCACCGCCACGGCCAGCGTGTTGAGGGTGGCCCGGGAGGTCAGCACACCCACCAGCAGTCGCTCTCTGATGCCCAGTTCAGTGTGAATGTAACGAGTTCTGGAGAGAGCAAATAAATAGAGGACGTACAGAATGAAGGGGATCATTTCTCATAACAGTCGACTGAAATATAGATTTCCGGATAAGATATCAATCCAATAATCAGCTGTCAGATTTAAAATAAGACATGAAAAGGGAGATTTGACTGATCTCTAATCTATCTGCCTACTAAACTGTATATCCCGCTCAGTGCATTTAGATTATTGCAGGGGAGATTTTAACAGAATTAGCAAATGGAAATCCTCTGGATCCGTCTTGCAATTTGTTGAAATAGGGCTGCATGTAGCTATGTTATTGCAAAAAGCCCTTCTGTACCATTGACACAAACTTTTCACAGAACATTACTGTGGTGTTTGGACTTCCACACTCACCTGAGGACTTTCTTGTGCGGCTTGTTTGGGTCATGGTGATAGGGCACGATCCGTGGCTGGACGTCTTCATCTCTGGCCCCATCCCTCGAGTCCCTCTGGGCATCTCCTCGGGCCCTGAACAGCCTCCCATTGCCCAGTTCATCTCCACAGGAGTCGTCGGTGTCCCCTTGTGTCCAGGACACCATCAACAGGCTCAGGCTGCAGCCCAGAGACAGCCCGAGGATGAGGGGTAAAACAGGCCTAAACACGGCCAGAAAAGAGGAAAGACGCATATCTAGAAGTAATGAGCTAGACTAGATGAGACTGCTCTGGAAAAATGTACCAGCTAAAGATGAACCTATTTTAGGGGAAGAGAAAATGGCCTCAAATGTCATAGTGTCCCTGTCTTCAGGTAGTCGTTATAAAGTTTAAAATCAACCTATCGTTACCTCGTAAGATTTAGCAAACGTAAGACACTTTGTCTTATCTTCGACCTCATATTTGAAGATGCTTAAAATTGGAAACGTGCAGGTTAACGTCATAAACTAACGTTGGTTTGCAAATATCGTAGCACTATTCACGTTTATGGCGGTGTAAGCTGGTTACGTCATATAAACTCAGGGTATTCATTAACGATATGTTAATTAGCTGAACTATATTTTTGGGGGGGCTAGCTTTAACACTAATAGCTGCATCTAAAGTCAGCTAACTAGTGTAGCAAGACGCCAAACGTCACCTGGTAAAGTTAACCGTTTTAGTCTACGTTACTCCAATTAGTCGGTAATTTAAAAAAAAAAAAAAGACGGAAGAGGATTCAAAAGTTCTGTCCTCCGTGTCTAAATGTTTAACCTTAACAGCTAACGTTGTGTGTCGGAGGACCAAACATCACAGAGCAAGCTAGCAGGCTAGCATCGTTTAGTGCAGATATGTCTCTCGTCGATCCATCTTGAAGGAATAAGTCCCATTTTTCACCATTGATGCGGGTAAAAAATCCGTCACGCATAGCCATATGTCGTCCATTTTCTTCAGTTTCTTGACTTCCTCAAAAACTGTGTGCCACACACACCTCTCCTCTTCCTCCTCTTCTTCTTCTTCTTCTTCTTCTTCTGTGGTGTTTACCGGTAGCTTTAAGGTTTTACCCTCATCATCGCTGAGCTGCTGCAGCATCACCTATGACTGATTTATGCGTGTTTATGCGATAAGGATGGTATATGTGATATATGTATAAGTGTCAATATATAAATATATGTGAAAAAGGTCCACTTAGAAACATTATCTATATGGTTACATCACAGTTTTATTGTCAGGTTTATTAGCAAACGTTAGAGTTAATAATTGAGCCTCTGTCTAGTTAGTCCCAACCAACAAATATATTATTACTGATTTATAAATTAAATATGCGATTAATTTAAGTAGTAAAAGGACATTTTACTGCAGTCCCACGGGAAGGGGCGGGTAGATTAATTGTCACCGCCCCTGTATGGCCATATATGGTCCGTCTGGCGGTGTGGCGTGCGGCTACATCCACCCGGCAAAATTGTACACGAGACATCGGTGTGCTCCCGAGACCAGTAACACATTATCTAGGTAAGAGATATTTTCTGGGTCTGACAACTACGGGTCAAATGGCTGATATACACAGTTTTATGTTAAACGTAAATAACGGGCTTGAAAAACTAACATTAACCGCCGAGTTAGCCACTTTCAGAGCTTGGTAGTAGCTAGCTAGTTGGGCCTTGCGTAATGTTAGCCTTAGCCGCTCAGGCCCGTCAGCTGTGGTTAGCTAGCGTTGTTAGCTAGAGAGCTAACGTTAACGGTAATTAATCAAATTTGCTAAGTTCTTTCCCCTATAACGTTATATGACATCCTGTTTTATAAAGCGAACACTACTATGTGTGTACTGTCGTCGATTATTAATTCACTCTGAAGGGACAAATTACCGTTAATGTTGGCGGCATCCGCTACCTTTTTTTTTTTTTTTTTTTTTTTTTTTTTTTTTTAGCTTTTATCAGTGGGGCTATCAGGCTGTATAATGCGAGGAACCCAACGTGCGAGCAGGTGGGACTGGAAGAAATCAAAATGCCGCCGGTGTTCGTTAGCATTGTCACCGTCATCATTAACGGTTACCGTTAACCACATTAACGTTGCTCCTTCCTTAAAGTCAACTGGAGATGAAGTTAACGTTACACCCTGAGTTCATTTACCGGCACGTTTATGACGCCGGTTAAGCCGCGCGTCATGTAAGTTTCTGCACACGCTACTTTCTGTAGGCTATTACCGTTAGCCATTTTTTTTTACCCAGATTTAAACCCTCATTAAACCAGTCAGATATTATCGAAATCTTCTAATAAGTGAGAATATGGGTACAATATACATACAATTACATCACATTGTATATTATATTGGAGAATAAGAATGTTGATCTATTTGTGTCCTTTTTTTTATTTTTTTTTATTTTCTAGCCTTTCACAACCATGCCATCCGACCTAGCCAAGAAGAAGGCATTGAAGAAGAAGGAGGCTGCCAAAAATCGCCAGCGTACCAAGAGAACTGATGAGGAGGGTGAGGAGGGTGACCAAGCAGAGACTCAGCTCAATGGAGCTGATAGCAATGGTGAGAGGAGAACTGATCTTTGAGTAATTGGTATAGGCTTAGTTGTGATTTCCTAGGGCTTGTATCATTCCCGAGATGTCTTGTATTAACTTTTGCTTTCTTTATAGGGATCGTCAGTTTGACAAAGGAGCTGGATGAATTTGAGCTGGCGAAGACGGAGGCACGGGCGGTGACCGGCGTACTGGCCTCGCACCCCAACAGCACCGATGTCCATGTAGCCAGCCTGTCACTCACCTTCCATGGTCAAGAGCTGCTAGCAGACACAAGCCTGGAGCTCAACTCAGGCAGACGCTATGGTCTCATCGGCCTCAACGGCACAGGTAAAAAGATTTCTCCTGGCAAATTATATATACTAGTCCGTATCCTATCAGTCACCACACTTGCACATTCGCTTGTATACAGCAGTTCCCCTAAGTAGAGGTGGGATAAATGCAGCACAGGATGGATTTTTGATATGTTGAGTAAAATTAATTTTCTTATCGACTTATGTCTTCCAGGAAAATCCATGCTGTTGTCGGCCATCGGGCACCGTGAGATTCCCATTCCAGAGCACATAGATATTTACCACTTGACCCGGGAGATGGCCCCCAGCGAGAAGACTGCTCTGGAGTGTGTCATGGAGGTGGATGAGCAGAGGATTATGCTGGAGAAGGAGGCAGAGAGACTTGCCGCTGAGGACTGTGAGTTAAATGTCATGTACCAAGCAATAACTGCAGAGGGCAACAGTTTTTGTATTTATTATTGTATATAGTTATACTATAGCTACATTGATTGAAATTGATATTGAATGCCTTTCTCTCACCCCTGCATAGCCGAGTGTGAGAAGCTGATGGAGCTGTACGAGCGTCTGGAGGAGCTGGATGCGGACAAGGCAGAGGTGCGAGCTTCTCGGATTCTCCACGGTTTGGGTTTCACCGGCCCCATGCAGAAGAAGAAACTCAAGGACTTCAGTGGAGGATGGAGGATGCGTGTTGCTCTAGCCAGGTAAAGATGAAGTGCTTTGTGTTACACCATTCAGTGACATGATGTGATGCATCCTTCTGTGGCGGAGCTACTATGGCGATATGTTTTGGGTGGCGTGCTCTTGATTCGCACTGCATTCTCTAAAGAGCTGATGACGTATACAGAAAAAAACAGTTTCACAATGAAAAGTTTCCTCTGAATATAAATTTGAATGACTTTATTTATTTAGGGCCCTGTTTATCAAGCCCTTCATGCTGTTGCTGGATGAGCCCACTAACCACTTGGATCTGGATGCTTGTGTGTGGTTGGAGGAGGAGCTCAGTTCGTAAGTTCACCCCCTACTTCCTCAATTGTGTACAAGTCAGTAACAGTTGACATGTGGTGCTCATCCTGGCTCTCGTTGTCAGGTTCAAGCGAATCCTTGTGCTCGTCTCACACTCTCAAGACTTCCTGAATGGTGTGTGCACCAACATCATCCACCTGAATCTCAGAAAACTGAAATACTACACGGTAAGCACACCTGGCTGAAACCACCTTTAAGTAAAATAAAGATGCCTCAGCATCCCTTGGAACATCCTAAATAAGCTCGTTATATGTGATCTCATCACGCTAAAAGGCTGTTACTAATTATGTGTCTGTGTGCCACCCTCTTGGATAACCGTGCACATCTATTTCTGCTTTAAGGGCAACTACGACCAGTATGTGAAGACCAGAGAGGAGCTGGAAGAGAACCAGATGAAGCGCTTCAACTGGGAACAGGACCAGATAACACACATGAAGGTAAACGAGAGACACCATGTGGTGGTATATTTCCACTGCACACAATGGATCGATCAGAGCAGACTCAAACTCATCTCTGGTTGTCTTTAGAAGAGATTTTAACAAACTCTTTCTGTACATAGTTTCATATTACACTTGTAGTCACTGTTCTTTTTGCATCCCTCTCCTCTAGAATTACATTGCCAGGTTTGGTCACGGCTCTGCGAAGCTCGCCCGACAGGCACAGAGCAAAGAGAAGACGCTGCAGAAGATGGTGGCCTCGGGCTTGACTGAAAAAGTTGTCAGCGACAAGGTGATGTGGTCGGGCTGGTTTGGAAACTTTCAGTGTTTGTCAGAAAGGGCCACACATTTTGAGAGAACATGTATATTCTGGTACTAACGCCTGCCTCTTGTCTGCCACAGACTCTGTCATTTTCCTTTCATCCCTGTGGGAAGATTCCTCCTCCTGTCATCATGGTTCAGAACGTGAGCTTCAAGTACAGCGACGAGACAGTGAGTACAGTTAACACTACAGCACGGACGGAGCTTTGTCCACTTGACGTATGGATGCATTTCTCAGTCTCTCTCTCTCAATGTTTCCTGTAGCCGCACATATATAAAAACCTAGAGTTTGGTATTGACTTGGACACACGAGTGGCTCTGGTGGGGCCCAATGGAGCCGGCAAGTCGACGCTGCTTAAGCTGCTGATGGGAGAGGTAGGCACAGTCCTTCCCCCACAATCATGCAACAACCTGCACTTGTCAAGAGTATTGAAGTTCATTCTCCTTTTTCTTTTTGTAGCTCCTCCCCACTGATGGCATGATCCGCAAAAACTCTCACGTCAAGATTGGCAGATATCACCAGGTAAAACACTGTCGACGTCATCTTTTTAAAGTCCCAGTGGAACGCAATATTTGAGTAGTGTACAGTTACAAGAGGGATTTAAATCAGATCTTTGGCACATGATTGGACCGCTTTAAAGTAGGCGGGCTTAGAATGTAGCTACAGAGGACTGTGGCTCCACACAAGCCTCCCTTGTCACTAAAATTGCAGATTGATTGTTGGATAAATGTCATGATATTGCCATATTGTAGGTATGAGCATACCTAAAGACGCCCTCTAGAAGAAAAGATCATTGGATTTTGATGTAAAAATACAAAGGAATATTTTTTTTGTGGTTGTAATTTCCAAAGGCTCCATCAGATTCAGGGCAAATGTTAGACCTGGGAGATAAAAAGTATATTTACTGTAGAACTAAACGTCTTCTGTGTATCTGCTCGTGTTCCAGCATCTGACGGAGCAGCTGGAACTGGACCTGTCTCCTTTGGAGTACATGATGAAGTGTTATCCTGACATCAAAGAAAAAGAGGACATGAGGAAGATCATCGGCCGCTACGGGCTGACTGGAAAACAGCAGGTAGGCTTGGGATACTCCTCCAGATGAACAACGTGGGAAAGTGCTAAATGGAATTTAGTTATTTTGCTTTGTCTGCACTTGTCTCTAAATTTACAACTGAAATGTCTTCCAGGTCAGTCCGATCAGGAACTTGTCCGATGGTCAGAAGTGCCGGGTGTGTTTTGCCTGGCTGGCCTGGCAGAACCCTCACTTGTTGTTCCTCGACGAGCCCACCAATCACTTGGATATCGAGACCATTGACGCGTTGGGAGAGGCCATCAACGAGTTTGAAGGCGGCACGATGCTAGTTAGCCACGACTTCAGGCTAATTCAACTGGTAAATATCTTATCATTTGACTTCATTTAATGTTTGCTTTTAAAATGGCGCAGGCCTCGAGTGTAATCGTCGTCTCTCTTTCTCCAGGTGGCTCAGGAGATCTGGGTGTGCGAGAATCAAACCATCACAAAGTGGAATAGGGACATTCTGGCATACAAGGAGCACTTGAAATCAAAGATCGAGAAGCAGCAAGCGCATGACATCTAAAAGAAACGTCACACTCTGAGCCACTCCTTTATCTCGTATCATGGATTTGACCTGCAAGCTCCTGAGGCGACAAGCAGGGTTTACATTGCAGGAAATGTCGTTAACAGAACTGAAACAATCTCTTACACATCTTATCGGACACGTCTCTTGTACATGTACTGTATTTCCATCTCTGTTTGACAGTGCCACTCGATCCAGCCCTCCCTCTCACCTCAGGCTGCACTCTGATTGGCTGATTCATCTGAATCACCTCAGTGTAATTTGGACGCATTCCATTCTGCTGTCATCATAGAAAAGTTGTTTTATCCCACCATGTATTGCAGCAGCATTTAGGTCATATTTTATATTTAAAAGTTGACCTTTTTTCTTTTTCTGTGTAAAAGAGCAGTTCTTAACAATTCCTTATTTAACAATGTAATGCAATAAAGGTTTGTCTGAATAAACGGAACATTAAAAACAGCATATTAGGATTTCAAAGACTTTATTTTACACTTAACGAATACAGTGCTCGTATCCAAAAATCAAAAGCCTTTAGGGAAAATAAACTATCTTACATCTCTGTAAACAAGAGGACAGAACTGGATGTGAGTAAAATAAGTTGCTTTGGATTCTGACTTGAGAGCCCCATGGCTGCATAGATCCTACTTCATCTTAGTCTCACTGTATGCCGCTGCTGCTGCTCACCCAGTTGTCCATGGAACTGAAAATGGCTAAACTGGTCAAGATGGTAGCAATGCTAATACAGCCATTTATGAAATATCAACCGAATCAATGCACTTTAAAAAGTTAAGTGACTCGGTGGTTTGCAGTAACATCACAAGTTATGAGCTCTTCATTATGAGCTCTTACAGTAAAGCTTTGTTTACGTCGGACAGGAAAAGTGTCAAAGAAACAAGTTTGGCCAAACTCTGCTACCAGGATGAATATGTTCAGTTTCTCACAAAGTTCTAACTGACACGACTCGTGTTCTCACTGCCACATACCACTTTATCACAGATCAACTTCTCTTTGAACAGGAAACATTTGTTTTAAACGATGCCTACGTAGACCAATTATGTAACATAAGGATCCCGACATCTAGCAGCATGGTAGAAAAAGTGCAGTCGAAATAAAATTAAAATGAGAAACTGAGCAAATACTTTGTCATGGTGTCAACACTCTACGATACTTTATCTTTGACAATTGATGTCTAGTGTTTTCCTCATGTACTGTACAATTAATAGTGCCAATCATTCACACTAAAAGACCTAATTCTAATAGACATCTCATTTTGAAATGCATTCTAATAAATCCAACATGACGCAAATACAGCTAAAGCTTCAATGTTAGTTTTAATAACTCCGACTCCACATCCAAAAAAAGATTTAGTTGAACTGACAACTTGTTATTTAGGTTTTAATTGAATTCAAACATATCAGGCTGATAGTCTTTACAGTCGGAAAATACATGCTGTGTTATAAGTTACATTTCCAACGTTTAATATGTTCCTGCCGGTCGGCTCAAAAAGCTCCAACGAAGAGAAAAACGGATAGTTCCTACCTATAAGGCTTTAACGTTTGTCGGGTGGAGTTGTTCCAGAGAGAGAGATAGAGATATATATATATCCCCTAGGCTCTTGTTTCAGGTTTTAACTTGGTAGTGGCTGTGATTGACAGATTAGTGGCCCGAGCTACGTATGAAACAGTGCAAATAGGAGTGTTTCAGTATCCAGACAGCAGCGTGTTTCCGGGGTTAAAGGAGGACCGCAGCAGTCGGATGCTCAGGTACAGTATGCACGGACCAACGGAAGCTCTCGATGCTCACTGGGCTTCCCACTCCTCATCCGAGACGTCGTCTGGGGGGATGCTGCGGGTGTTGCTCGCCCGGATGCTGCTGATGTTAGTGAAAGAGAGGAGGCTCGCAATACCCATCATACTCACGCCGGTGCCGTCCAGGTTCACCTGAGCTAGAGGCATGTTTTTCAAGAACTTTAGACCTGAGGGGGAGAAAGAAAAAAAAAAACGTATAAAAATGCATCGAGATTGTTCACCCGTGTGAGAAAAGGTCACATTTGTGTGTGGTGATGGAGTCAGGGTCAGTGATTGTAGACCTCACCGTGGTCTGTGATCCGCGTGCGGCTGAGGTTGAGCTTCACAAGTTGATTGCAGCGGATCAGACCTCTCCTCACTACTGTGTCGCCCACCCGAGTGCTGGCTAACCCCAGTACCTAAAAAACATTGACAAGCATATTAAAACGAGATCATTTCAGACATTTGAATTTGTTACTATTATCGACAATATGGGCAGAGGTTCGCATAGTTCCAAAGCAGCAAATTTCTCAACAATTTCTTCAACCACGTTGGTGCTAGGCAGTAAAATCACCTGGAGGTGCGGCAGACAGGTGACGAGTTCGGCCACTCCTCGGCTGGTGACCGCCGTTCGGTCCAAACAGAGCTCCTGCAGCTCCTGCAGGCCTCGCAGCGAGGGGAGCCCTGCATCCGTCACCTGTGTGTTGCTCAGTGACAGCTTCTTCAACCTACGCAACGACGTACACGCAACACTCCTGTCAATATCTCTGCTGTCATCATACCGAGACAGCTGTTATAATGACCTGCATGTGTCGTACGGTGTGGGAGTGACCTGTTCATGGTGGAGAGCTGGCAGACGCCCTGGTCCGTGACTTGTGTGTAGTCCGTCAGGTCCAGCTCTAAGAGCAGAGACAGTCTAGAGAGGAAGGACAACCCGCTGTCTGTCACCAAGTGGCGTCCTGGGAGGGTCAGCTGAGTCAACTTTAAACCTGGAAGGAAACCTCTTATTTTTAAGAGTTCGATTCACCGCAGACCCCGTCATTTCTTTCTTTCCATTTTACGTACCTGAGATGATCTGCAGGGCGTGATCACCATCTGCTACGGGGATTCCTGCCACACTGAGGGACGACAGGGCAGGGTGGCTGGCGAGGTGCTCCAGAGAGCTTTCCGTCACGCATGTCCCATCCAGGATGAGAGTCTGCAGGATGGACAGCTCCGCCAATGCCGACACATCACTGACCTGGCAGAACAAGACCCCACGAAGACGAAGAAACGTCATGAGAAAAAAAACAACATAAAACAACAAACCGGCTGCTCAGTTAACAGACGTGACGGTCAGATGTGGCCGGTAGAGCCGTGGTACCTTCGTCTGCTTGATGCTGAGGAGCCTCAGTTGTGGCACACAGGTGGGCAGGACTGCCAGTGTGGCTTCAGTCACAGCTGTTTGGTTCAGGCTGAGCTGAGAGAGACAGGACGGAGCAGACTGGAGATACAACACCATCCCAGCATCTGTCACTTTGGTCTGGTCCAGCGACAGGAAACACAGGCTCTTTAAACCTTGTAGACACAGAGAAGGGAAATGTGTTGATGTTTGTTGACATTAACCATTCAGCACAGAGCAGCTTATAATGGGATCTGGCCTCCTCGCAGGACAGTTTGTGGAAAGCCTAACCTGTGATGTGCTGCAGACAGGAGTTGGTCAGTTTGCTACAGGAGGCCAGGTTGAGGTACTGGAGTTTGAGCAGACTGGAAATGATTGACAGCCCGGAATCTGGACAGAACACGTTTAGGAGATTCAAATGAAACGGCACATTGAGCAAAAAATATCGCAGAAGTTAACATGGCAACTGAAAAGCCCAAAATTTCCACCCTGAAATGAACTTCTGTACCAGTGATGAGAGGAGAGCTGACCAGACTCAGGTGCTTCAGTGCCGTGAAGGCCCGTAACTGCCGCAGGAGCTCGTTGGTGGAGTAAGGGTAGCAGTTCAGGACAAACTTCTGCAACGGGCAGCCGAAGAAGAGCTCCAGGGTGCGCGGACGCAGGAGCCTCTCGCGGGACATGTGGTTGAGCAGAAGCTCCGCTAGCTCCGGGGTGAGGCATGCCAGACTGCTGCTGTACTGCATGCTGGGAGCTGAGGGCCAAGAGTGACGACATTCAGTAGAACAAAGCGACGAGACACGTTTTCACGTCAGTGGATATCCTACGTGGTCTCTCACCAGTCATGAGGTGGACGGTTGCGCGGGTCGCCAAGGCACATAGGGACGGCACGCTGGGTGCCCTGAAGGGTTTTTTAGGGGGTGACGGTTGTCCCTGGGAGGCTCGGGGGTCTTCTTGCTGTGCAGCTCTTTGAAGACGCTCCACTGCAGCCAGACCTGCAGCTCCAGGGGCCTCCCGACCTCCAGCATCCTCAGGCTCCGCTGGGTCCTCCTCCGGAGCCTCCCTGAAACACACACAAACACAACTCTCTTTTATAATAATTAATGTCAGCCAATTAATAGATTCTTCTCCAAATAAAATACAACAGAGCTTAACAATAAAAGTGCCAAAGCCCTAAACAGGGGCTCCCTCAGAATGATTCATTATCACCAGCTGCTAAACACACAACACAAAAACAACTGCATCTATAATACATATAAAGTTACACGAGTTTACAGTTGGGACATTAGCGTCATTCTGTCTAGAACACCCACCTCAGGCGGTTGCCTTGCTCTGGCCAAGCGTGCCGCGCCTCAAATTCTCCACGGAACCGATTGTCCGGGAAGAAAGGCAGCCGCGGCATTCCTGTGAAAACAACAAAAGTAACGATCGTAAGATGTCACAAAGAAGTAGTCCCCAACATCAAAACCAGCTGATACAGATACAGTAAAAGTCATTACGATGGAAAAAAAAAAAAAAAAAAAAAAAAAAAAAAAAAAAA